TCTCACGGCGCTTCGCGCTTGGTGATGTGAGAGCCTGGTCCGGTGAGAACCCGGCGTGCTCCGTCCCGGCTTTGTAGGGATGCGAGGTCAATGGTCTAACGACTACGGCATGCACGACTATGAGTACATCCCCCCCCCCTGCGCATGAAGAATATCTGTGTAAAAGGCGGGTATGCAGGGTTTTCGTGCCCCCGCAGCAGTGTTGATTGTTCAGTCGAGAGAGACAGCATGATGACCCGGAATCGAGGAGAAAGACAGACACAGAGAAAGAGAATCAAACACACACACAGAGCGGCGAGACGTACGTGCAGCGACTGCTCTTGCCGTACGTTATGTGTGCGCCTTGCTATGATGTGCAGTTAGTTATACCTATCCATGTACACGCGCGCTTAGAGGAGGTGGTTGGCCACGCTCCTGTGGTTCATCGCGATACACAAACAGGTAGCTGCTACGCAACCATGTCTGATACTGTATAGCCCATGGCAGTAGACATGCAGCAGCAACATATGGGTTGCCTCCTGTGTTGCTATGCACTGCTTAGCCTGCTGTGTGTGCGGAATGTGTAGGCTGCTGCTGTGTAGTAGTTTGGCGTTTTGGTTTTCCGGGGACGCGCCTCCCGCAGCCCAGGGCACAAAGAAGCGAGAAACATGTCCGGAGGTGTTGCCTCCCCCCCACCCCTGGTTGGAAGAATTTGTAAATAGGGTGTATGCAGGGGCTCCGTGCCATGAATGCATGCAGTGTGACCGCTGATGATCATGTCGTAACTGAACTGCTGGATACAGACAGATACAGGACACACACAGCGAAAGATGCACACAGGCAGCTGTGAGATACAAACACGTGCACCCCCCGGCAGCAGCTGGGAACCTGTGTGGCTATGATAGGTGGTTGTTGTATGTACGTTCGTTTGATGAAGGTCATGTGTACGTCATGTGTACACACAGCAGCAGCAGTTTACCAGTGGTTTGCTTGGTCCGCCACAAGTGCCGGGGGGGGGGTAAACTGCCCCCGGACACCCCCTTTCACCCACGCGTGGTTTGCTTGGTTCACCACACGCGTGGTTTGCTGGGTTCATCACACGCGTGGTTTGCTTGGTCCACCACCAGTGCCGGGGGGGGGTTGACCCCGCCCCTCACCCACGCGTGGTTTGCTTGGTCCAAAATATACTCACTTGATTTTTAACGAGACCGCAACCAAAGGAAACAAACCAAGAACAATAGGCCGACAAACGCATTCACAATAGAACAAGAACAACAATAGAGACACAATGGGACTTGCCTCTAGGATCTTGAGGAGGGCCTGCTGCACGCCCTCCCCGCTGACGTCGCGGGTGATGCTGACGTTCTCGGTCTTCCTTGAAATCTGACAACCAAAAAGAAAAGCCAGGAGATATGTGTTCGAAAAGTATCACTTCAGGCAAATAATAACGCAGCTTGCGTCACCCACAGCGCGATGGACATCTGGTCGCCAGGAACTGAATGACTCAGCGGCTCAGGAACAGAAAAAAAAAAAATGGTATTTTTTACACTGCAACGAGTCCATCCCACTTGCGTCATCACCACCGACACTACATGTGCATTCAGGTATGCATAATGGCAAACAATCACCGGCAATGTAGCATAGCATCCTCATACTTTCGTAGTATGGACTATGTCCACATTATTGAACAGGTCATGGGACAATAAAAAATAATCAGTTGGCCGAAAATCAAACCCACAAAAAAACTACCGCCACAGCCCAAACATTTGATAGGACGTAACATGGTCAAAAAGCAAGACCCGAAGTACGAACAGTGTGACGGTGTTTATTCAATGTCGCTAGGTTTACGAACGCTAGGTTTTAAGGCCAGAAAAAACTCAATCCGTTACAGAGAAATCCCAAAACAATCGTTTTCTGCCGACCTATGCTCATCTCGAAACATGTCAAAGCGCAACTACTGGGAGTGCGAACCAGATGCAGACCAAACCTAACCTTGTCGATCTCGTCGAGGTAGACGATTCCGCGTTGGCAGCGCTCGATGTCCTGGCCGCTCTCCATGTACAGCTTGTGCAGGATGGACTCGACGTCTTCGCCCACGTATCCGGCCTGAGGACCGGACCAACAAGGGTAGCGAACAGACACACCGGGAAGGGGCCCCGACGAATCAATCAAGGGAGGCAGGGGGCACGCCGATAGTCTTGACGTGGTATGGGCCGTGATGTATACCTCACGGCCATCCCACATCCTACGCTAGGCAATTTTTTCTGTTTGAGCCACGGTTGCCAGAAATTAAGCTTAGGCACTAGTTACAACACTTGTACATAAAGGCGCGTGGTGAATCATGGTGCGCCAAGACTTACGGACGATTACAAACGTCGATGCCAAAAACAAACGAACGACATATGAAACTAGAACAAACGAATCTGCGAAGAAACAAGAAATGAAATCCCCAACCTGACAAAACACCGCACACACATACGCAAACAAAGCAGCAGCCTTGGTAGACATGTGTCGTCCGTTTTCTCAAAAACCGATATTAGCTTAGCCTACCCCATGACGCCCTCTAACGGCGTCGCAAATCACGGCCTTCAGAAACGTTTTCTGTTTTCAACCGCGCTGAGACTGACGAATCTTCATTGGTCAGACGGTATGCGCGGTCGATGCTAACAAACAACGACAAACAAACACAAGCGCACACCTGTGTGAGGCACGTCGCATCCGCAATCACGAGAGGCACGTCTACCAGCTTCGCAAGCGTTTTGGCCAGCAGAGTCTTGCCCGACCCCGTGGGCCCGATGATCATCACGTTCGTCTTGTCGAGGACCACCGGCTCCACCTCGATCCCGTTCGACAGGTTCAGCTTAGCCTTTTGGACGTCCTGCTGCAAGGGAACAACCGAGAGGGCAGTGCATCGGGAGGTGTTGCTCCTTGTGAGTGGTTATTTCGTGGTGTGAATGAACCTCAACAACGTCGTCATTATCAGCAGTGACAAGTGCTGCTGCTTAAACGAGGTGGGTTTAACGGAGAACTGCTGCCATCGTATCGACACAACATTTCCCCCCTCGAGAGCTGTTGGCTGCCTGCGACAAGCTTGGGCGATGTGCCGGTACCAGCGTCGTACAAAGTGCAAGACTGCAAGGGGTGTGGCGTGTGGGAACGACGAAGGGGAAACTTACCCGCCCATTGTCTTGTGGAGGAGGAGGCGGTCCTTGCTGCTCCTGCTGTCGCTGACGGTGCCGTTGATACTGCTGGTACTGGTGCTCCTGCATGTGCTGCTGCTCAACAGCCGGCAGGAGAAAAGAAACAAAAATATTCCGCAGGGAAAGACGCGTGATGTACTGTATGTACCATGGAAAAGGAGCACACAGCGATGGCTAAGTCTGTCTGCCATCCCGTTGTCTCCTCTGCGTACTGAACAGCAGAAACGACCTGTCCCCACCGCCACACCGCACTCACGCCTCCATTCCTTCCACCACCTCCCCTCCCGCACTCTACAGCTACGTTTCCCATGCCTGCATTTCATAATTTCATTCTTGTCTACGTCGTAAAATGTTGTCGCCCCAGCTGTATTGCCTTCCCCATCGCAGAGGGAAGGTGGGACAAAAAACAGAAAAAGTCCCTATATTGCCCCCGGCTGACACGTCAAATATACACCGAAACATGTAGACTAGCGCCACAAAACACCGGACGAAACAAACACGTGAGCACATACACTTGAGGAGATACGTCCCGATTTTACGATACCCAGGGCAATTCCTCTCTGCGGTGCATGTCTTCGCCTGTACTGCGAGAAGCGCAGCAATCCTCTTCGAGCATATCCTCTTCCCCCCCCTCGTCAACATTGAGTCGAACATGGCATACTACTCACGAATAGAGTATGCTCTTCTGAATAATTGTGTCAAGCCGGGATTCGAACCCACGACCTTGACCATCCAAAGGATTCCAGAGTACCTTGGGCTCCTCCAATCGTCGGTTTCTTGAAGACAAGCACACGAACGCAAGCCTAATTCTCCCGATCTAGCTTTGCACATGGTTGGACCCGGCACACACAATATAAGGACACCTTTCGCTCGTGCCACACCAAATCCATGTCCCCCAGCTCCTTGCTACGCCTATATGAACGAAATCTGTTTCTTGATAGCTACCGCTGTGGATCTCCCTCTTCTTCCCCCTCTCATCTTTCTCTCAAGGATGCTGCGGTATCCTCACCTTGCCCCCGGACCCAACCCATTGCTGCTGCTGTGGCTTCGGCATGGCGTCGTGATCGGCGATGCCAGGCAGTTGGAGGTCTACGTCACTCATCGTCTGCTCCAAGGCCTGCAAAGAGAAACATCCATGAAACCAAACAGAACACACAACCATCCGTGCCTGGGTTACTGTCAATATATTGTTGTAAAACCTCACTAGCTGTGTCCATTATCGCCTCTACCGATTACCTCCTGTTCCATGGTAGCCCATTCGGTACACTTTCCTTTTGCGTGGTCGCACACTGAGTAATACGGGTCGAGAATAAAATGCCGACCTCAGGCATCAATGGCCTTTCATCAGTGTACATCAGGGTTTTTCGGTCAACCACAGCAACATGTTCGGAAATAGTACAGGTAGGATCCGTGACAGAACTAAGCGATGTCCTGTATGTGTACACATGCCCTTTCGCACCAACGATCTTTCGCAATACCCCATCAAACTTGGGTGTGATTGCGGAGGGCAAACTGCAAAACCAAATTTGCACAGCAGTGGGGGATGCTTGATTCTACTGGCTTCGAGTTATTATCTGTTGCGTAAGTGTACTCCTGAGGGCTCTGCTGCACGGACGATGGCTCCTACTGTGGTGTCTGAATGTCTTGTTCTTCTACGAACAAGTATTTTTTTACCTCCAGAGTTCATTGGCGTTGAATGACCCTCGCCTCCCCCGCCTTCTTTCACTCTTTTTCGGCAATTGGTTCAGCACAGCACCAGTGGCATCTGCATTCGATGGTGCCTTGTTTCCATGCCGAGTTGACCCATGGCACGCACACTTTTTATCATTCCTCTCGACAAGTCGTGCATGCCGCGAGGCCTGAGGCATCCATCCCACGCCTGCGTAAGCCCGCCCCACCAACGTACTCCCTTTCTTTCGTCCAACAAGCTATAGATACTCCTTGACCCCGCCATTGATGTCGCCATCCAGCGGAGCGGGTTAGTTCTAGCACGGCGGATCTCCCTTGGGGGAAAGACACTCAAACCTCGAGATTCCAGAACAGCTGCGCCACACATTCAATGGAAGAAAAAGTAACAGGCGCAAAAGCAGTACCATAACGTCAATACTTCCGAGCCAAATACTACGCGAGCCGCTGGGAGAGGGGGGGGGGGGGGNAGCGCTGAGACCTTAAACCCCCACCCCCCTACAAGACCGACATGAAGAATGTCAGTAGGGTATCCCTGTGACACGAGCATGTCATCCAGCAATTGAGGATAAAACGGATGGGCCGATCAGGCAGCTACCACACCAATTGTTTGAACGTACTTGTCCATCTTCTAGACTAAAATAAACAACAAGGTCTCCCTTGGGTACGTGGGTGTCTACCCTCCCTCGGGTGACGCAACACCACATGCGCATTGCCCGAAGAGGGACTGTGTGTCTTACAACGCTTGTACTTCCACACAAAACATCGCGCACGTTGTTATTCTACATTGGAGCCAGCTCGAGCGGACAATGTTTTGGCAGCGAAAACTCAGACCTCCATGATGTCTTTGATTGAAGATGGCAGATTTCCGATGTGAACCGAATTTGAAGCCGAAACAACACCACAAATGGGTCATGTTCAACACTGCGGCTGGATGCATGCTCTCAGACTTGTCTACACTTGAGCCGCTGCGAAGTGTTGTAAACGTAGGTACTGCTGTTGGACAATGCGACGACAGAAGAGTCCCAGCCATGAATAATCGAATGAATGAATGAATAGATGAACGAATGAAAGTGGAGAAGCAAGAGGCAAATATTTCAAACCGTCCTTTTTGATGGGTTTGATAGGTTTCAGAACTGGTTCGCCAGGCTTTGTCAGCGCGAAACGCGTCCCCGGGGTTTTGAGCCAGTTTTCGCAACTTTGGCCGTAAACCACACGCGCCACGGAGGTCCACCGAGCTCCGGGCACGGGCGTTGATGTGCCGACGAGCCTCCTGCGTGCCCCTGAGAAGAAACCACGATAAAAGACTCGCTGCCGCGAGAGAAAGAAACGCCGAAGCATGAAAAGTGACCAAATCTTATATGTACATACTTCAACAACTCCAAAGTGCTGCTATCTACATGTGCAAGCAGGGGGGAGGGAGAGGTACCTCAGGTGGTGGTGCGTGTTGCACTCTGTGGGGCCCCGGCTGCTCCGTCGGCGGGCACACGGAGATTCGCTTGAAGTGGTTGTGCATCCCCACAGCTAAGGCGCGCTTCACGTTGTGCTGCACGGCCCAAAGAGGCAACGGGTGGGAAACGGATTGAGGCAACGGGTTAACGCGGACAGAATATCCGTCGGACTAGAATCAAACCCGAAACAACCAGCCCATCTCAGGAAGAGCTCTTTTCAGAACTACTACAACGCGAAACACGAACAGGTTGCCTGTAGCTGCCAACGCAACAGTAGTCTTGACAAAGGCGGTGTTAAAGGGGCACTTCATGATCGGATCATCACATCTTTCAACGGTCAGTCAACAACAAATCGCGCCCACAAGGTCAAGCATTCTCTCATCATCTAGGTATCCAAAGATAAAGATGCAAACACTCGGAGCCTTTGCATGCTACAGATGGAGCAAGGGCACTCGGGAGAGCATGTAAACTACAACAGACCACCTTCCATTTCATCGAGTTCTGAACTTCAAAGGAGATTTAACAGCGTGGGCGCGAAATCAAACCGGCCGTTGGGCACCGCTCGACGAGGACCACCTGCACCATACCACCACCACCCATTTGCAGGTCTCCTCCGCGTACCCCCGCCCCTTTAGGCGATATCTGTCCACGCACACGACATCAGCAGTTTCCCAACGTGCTTCCTCGACGCAGGGACATAACACGGCAACCTCCAAAACACACCGCACCACAACCTTCTGCGGTACCCTGGAAGACCGCTCACCTGTCCGATCACGTGCTCCGAAAGCTTCTCGTAAATTTCCTTGGGTAACAGATCCGCCGCCCTTCGTCTGTCCGGCCCGGTTCCGGCACCCCCGCTGCCGCCGCCGTCGCCCCCGTCTCCCACAGCATCCACGGGCGGGAATTCTCCCCGCCGCGCCCCTCCCCCTATCTCCCCCTTAGAAAACGCCCCCGGATATTGCTGTCCAGAACTCCCATCGCCCGCGAACGGGCTCGCGAAACCGCCACGACTACCATCAGCACCAACCCGACCATTCCAGGCGTCTCGCACCCCGCTCGCACCCCCCCGCCCCGCGGACCAGCTCGTCCGACCCCCGGCTGCGGCGCCCCCCCGCCGCGCTTGCTGAGACGAGTCCGAGCTGAGCTTGAAGTTCTGCGAGATACCGTCCTGCAGCTCTCGCTCCAGGCTACCGTGGGGCGTGTGCGGGTTCGGAGGGGTGAGCGGCGGGGAACGTGGAGGCGGGGGCGGGCCGGACCGGCGGTGCGAGTCCGGAAACACCTGTCCGATGCCCGGGTGGCTTGCTCCCGGACCTATGCTGGAGGATGAAGCCCGGGGTGATACCTATTGGGGCGATAAAACAGTAAAACGGAGGGTGATTTGATGTGCTACGTGGAGCTCGTATCCTGCGTTACAATTCGGAGGAGGGGTGGTGGGATTGGGGGATGCCACGAATCTCAGAAAGGGATAATATCAAAAAACGATGTAATCTCAAAAAATAGATATACTCTCCACGATGCCAACGTTGGCGGCAGGTGGGCGAAGACACGCTCCCGGTGTGTACATAATGGCTTTGAATCCATTAACGTTCTCTGAACGTACGGATATCACGCATGTTTTCGTATGAATATTCGGTCAGAACTGGAAGGAATATAAGTCCGCCCGCGTCAGGCACAGTGCCTTCTTCATCAAAACGTCAAAACACGACCAGCGCTGTGTGCTTACTGGTCAGCTCAAATGGCGTCCCATCGTCAAGATACACGGGCACACATCCCTCCTTTCAAAACTGGCTTGTAAGAGTCGTGTATCACGCAAAGATGCCGTTGGTTAAAGACGTCGTCAAAAGCGCTGTGCTTCTTGATCCCGCTATCTTCAAGTAGGTCCGACCCAGGCTCGGGGAACTGATAGATCGACTTTTGAGGACAAGATAGTAGGATTTGGCCGCAATCATGACAACTGAAGTGGACGACAGCTGCTACCAAACGCAAATACGAAACAACTCGGCGTCACTCAATGACTTGAATGCTGTCAAAAACAAACATGCACGAATCAGTCAATCACCACGCCAAGGTCGACACACGACTTTTTCCTGATAGCTCGATCCAACACGTGCAAGCGGCGGGTGTGGGTGTGCGTCACAACGAGAGAAAACACGCCAACGCGGCGTGACCAGGCTCGACAGGGGGAGAGATGAGCTTGGAGAGATGGTTTTGGAGAAGAAAATACAGATTTTGTACACCCAACTCACGCTAGCGCCCTCGATGTTCCGAGGCGTCCACTTCGCCGGGGAACATTTGGGGCAGCGCGTAACGAACATTCCCTGCAGGTCCCTGCGAGTCTCCAATACAACGTGGCAAGTGGGACATGTCGGCCTGCCGGCGCCGGGACGCTGAGCCTTGGTTGTTGATGTTGAGTGCTGTCGAAGTTGCAGTATAGCACTGCTGCTGCTGCTGCTGCTGCTGCTGACCCTCTGGGCGTTGTTGCTGTATGCGACAGATAATGCTGCTGGCTGAAAGGTGGAGAAACAGAAAACACGCGAGACGGGCGGGAGCTTTGACGACGAGGGTGGGAGCGCGGGCATTGCTTGCGGGCGCGTGCCGTGTACAAGTGTCACTGCTGCTGTCTCTCCAGCATCAACAAGAGGATCGAACATCATACACATCAAATTCTTCTCTCGCACACGCTAGTCATCTACACGCCTTGTACGTCGCCATTCAATTCCCTCTATCGAGAAATCCACGCTACTGGACGCCTTCTCGGCTGTAGCTATACCTGCCGCACCGCCCGTCTCAGCAGAGTCATCTTCCCGCTGTGTCGGCTGTCAAGCTCACTTTCTCCGAACTGCTCTAACTTCTAAACACTCTGAACAAGCTTGTTGTACGTCAATAGCAGTGGTGCCCGGCGTTGTCCTTGCGTCTCAACAGTGAATCCCGCTGCTCCTGCTCGTTGGTCGTCGGGGCCGGCTTTCGCCGGAAGATTGGAACGCGTGTGCCTTTCCGTGCTTCAAACGCTAGACTATGTCAAAGCGTCCTACTTTCCGCTCTTGTCTGTGGTAAAGTAATACAGCGCGTGCAGCCCTCTTCTTGCTTTTGCTGGTGAAGAGGTTTTCGAAAGTAGTGATGGAAGGCGTGGAAGATAGAGTAAGTACCCTTCATGCTGCAGTATTTACTCTGTCGTGCCGCTGGGCCGCTTGATGTGTCTTGTGTCGTGCTGGCTGCAAGTGTTGCAGCACAGCAGCTCTCGTTTGTCACATACGCTCCACCCTTCTACTGCGGTAGCCTGTTCTCTGCGGTAGAGACAGCAACGGCGCTATGAGTCTCCGATCGTCCAGAGCTGCGCGAGTACCCTATGTCCCTCCAGCCGCGAGAGCATCATCCGCGCATGGACAAAGTGCGGACGGATACACTCGACAAGGGCACGACACAACAGCAGCTACGAGACAGCCACGCCAACAGGGAAGGGCTGCAGATGACGACACCGCAGACGGCCAACAAGCAGAAGTGATCAATGGTACGACTCTACCGGCGGTAGAGGCATCGAGCAGCACCAACCTGGCGACAAAAGCGGCACCGCGTGCAGCTGCACCAGCATCAGCAGGAGGCCAGACGAGGCCAGACGAGGTACGCCTCCTACCGCCAGCAGACCGGGACGACAGCACAAGGGATCAAGTTTCCGACCAGCCCACACCAACTCCGCAGGACGTGAACCATACCGCGCCTCCCGTTGCCGAAAGGAGGAGGAGACCCAGGCAAGCGTGGGCGCAGTACGTGCCGCCTGGCCGGCGAAGTGGCGGGGCATCCTCCGCCTCCTCCGTTCCTGCAAGCAGCAGCAGCGGCAACGAAAAACACTCCTCTTGCCCCCGTGCGGAAGACACCAACAAATCAACGTCGTCGAAGTCAAGAGACGGTGAATCGAACGGGGGGAAGGGAAGCCGTCCGGCGCTGAAAGAAAAGCCTAGTGTTGTTTTCGCCGCCGACGGACCAGCTCCAGCAGACCAACAAGAGGGTGCATCCGAGCACCGGAGCACGGCAACTACAACGTCGCCGTCGTTGTGCTACGCCCACGGGGATAAAACCGGTTCGAAGGCCACTGCGGCACCCCCTCTGGAGAGTCAGGCGTCCTGTCCTCCTTCTCCAGCCAAAAACAGGGGGGGCAGCAGTAGGACTGACGGTGCCTCCACGGATCCTACGGCAACATCGGCTCTCGACCAGACCAGCGAAGAACACCGGGATGAGGAAAATGCCCCCACCGCTTCGGATCCCAGAGAGAAGATCGTTGAGCCTCCCCCTGCCAGCGACAGCAAGAGAGTCGAGGAAAACGTCACCGGGGACAAGAACGAGGATCAAGAGCTACCGGCATTCAAGCCGCCAGCAGCCAGATACGTACCGCCGGGCCGGCGGAAGGCCCTCGACGCAGAGTTAGCGGCAGCCGCAGATTCCGGCAGCAGCGGTGGCGCTGCTGCTGGGGACGGGATGGGTCCCTTGTGGACATCTCGAGCGCCTGTTCGTGTTAGCCAGAGGGAGCGGCCGTCGGACAGGGATGCGAGCCCCGCCAGTCGCCCCGCGCCTGCACGCGTGGCCCACGTGGTCAGCGGCGGCATGTCGGCGTACGGCACCAACATCTCAGAGTACTCCGGTACGTTGCGTGTTCGGGACACGCGCGCAATGATCGATCCTCCGCTTGTAGTGTGCACGGTAAGGAGCCGCGCCAACACGGTGTCACGCACACATCTCGCCGCTCGCCACCCCTATCCTAGCTGCATCAGCTCTGGCAGACCAACGCACTTCATTCCACAAGTCCGAGGAGATAGGGCAGTGTCATACCACGTACGAAGATCCGAAAGATGTGCATAGGTTGACGTGTAGACCCTGGCGTCCATAGCCGCTAGGATACACAAGAACACGAAAAACGCTTGCACGCATCATGTTTCATCCATCGCAAAAGCGTTCAGCGATCTCCACCTGAATCTGGTCTACTTTCTACGTTCGTCGTAATTACTCCCCCTGTTGCCCCTTGCGCAGAGGAAATGAGTCGAGAGCAGGTGGAGGCATGTACGGCCGTGGTGTCCAACTTTCCGGTGGCGTTGCCTCCCGGCCAGCGCGACTCGATGCTGCAGTCCCTCGTCTCCCTAGGCGGCCTCGTCGTGTGAGTGGCTCTTCGGTCGCACCAAACCTTTGAACGTGTGCGTGTCCGTGAGTTCGTCATGGTCCGCGGACTCAATGGTTCCATCGCCTGATAAATTGGACCATCTACACGTCTTCACGAAGATATTTCTTATACGGTAGATGAAGTCGATGAATGTCCTTCGCAGTGTTCCGCATGGCCTAGTTGCATGAGCAAAATGAGGATTTCTGTCCGTTGAGTCCCCAAACGGGAAGTTGTCCCGAACAGGCTCAACGTTTTGAAGTCATCTTTCCACCTTGCCCCCCCTTTTCCCCGATCACGATTTTGTTTTTGGTTTCTTGTCTCGCACTCGGGACCTTTCTCTGCAGGTGGCCTCGCCCGGATGAGGCGTTGGTAACATTTGCTACTCCGGCGTTAGCGCGACAGGCAGTGTCCGCGAGGAACAACCGCGATTCGGTGCTTCTCGTGGAGCTCCTATCACTGGCGCGGTTGGAGAAGAGGACGGGCTACAGACGAGGTAAAGGCCAATTCAGATGGTGTTCGGGTTTCCAGAATTTTGGTGGGAATCCCATGGAGTTTCCTCCTCTCATGTGAATCGCCCGTATGCCAGAAACAGAACACAAGCATGTTATTCGCGACGGACAAACACGCGTTGTTTTGCAGGCGTCACACATTCGAACACATGGGCTCGTAGGCTTCGCTAAACAAGATTGATGGTTGTAGTCCAGGCTGTAAGCCGGTGGTATCCAGGAGAAGGCAAGGATAGCTTAGACACCCAGACAATCCAGAGAGATGGCAAAGAGCGAGGCTGACCACCGAACGTCGAGATAAGCCACACGTACAGTATTTCCTACGCATGCGTTACATTCCAACCAACACATCAGATACCGATAACGCGGATGATACTCAAGGAGCGTGCTACTGAGGATTGAGTACGGCTATGAAGGAGATGCATTGTATGGTCCGTTTCCGGAAAAATTCACAATATTTCCCCTGCACAAAGGTGCACTTTTCTCGGGGTGGGGGTACTTATTCCGAAATCTGAAAATACCTCGTAAATCGACGTTTCAAGGCGCATCTTCGTACGGAGATTTTTTTTTTTTCGTCCTTCGCTCGATATGTTCAGATATTCAAGAAATCTTGCTTACTTTCTGGAGGGCGGTGTTTTTTGCAGACACAAAATCTGAGACCGGATTTTGGACAGCTCTCGTGATTTGCCACCGATGATTTTTTTCCGATTTCCAATTTGACAAAAAATAACGGAGTTATGGGCAAAAAAACGGATATTGGATGGTATTTCGCTTAGTTTCTTGGGGACAATCCAACCGTACGATTCAACAATAAATGGCTGCAATCGATTCCTCTCGTGATTTCCCACCGATGATTTTTTTCCGATTTCAAAAAAAAACTCGGGTTTCGGAGATATTTCGGGTGGTTTCACACGCCCTCGGGGAATTTTTTTCCGCCACACACACACCAGAGGACACACACACACACACCCTTTACGCACGCAACGAAACACGCACACGTGCTCCGGGCACATGGGTCGCCCAAAGGGTAAGCGCAAGCTGCCAAGGAACGCCGACGGCACGATTCGGAAGGCCCCTTCGCCCCCTGCGGACCCTGCTGTAGGCAACGACTCTCCTCCCTCTTCCGACCATGAAGGCGCCAATATTTCTCCCATGCACACCAACGACCACGACGACGACTGGCGCGATGAGGATGCGGGTGGCGAGCCAGGTCGCGGGCAGGCGAAACTGCCGTTCGGTTCTGCGGTTCGCTCTGCAGCGAGCGCTGCGGTGTCTGCAGCAGCTCGCACAGCAATGGCGGTGGCGCCCGAAGTCGCTCCGCCTGCGCGAAAAAACGCGGTGCAACCTCTCCACCGGTCGACGCAGCATCGCCACAGGCGAGCGCGGTGGAGCAAGGAGGACGCCGGGATGGCGGGGAGCTTGGCAGCATGGCTGAAGCCCCCAGCTCAGCAGCAGGAAGGGCAGCATGGTTCGCCTCAAATTATGGAGACTGAAGGTGCGGTGGAGATGGATGTTGAGGTGGGAGATGTTGGTGCGGACAGCAGTGATCATGATGCCGAGAAGATCTGCAGCCCGCAAGAAGAACATGACCGCACCAGCCGTGGCGACAGCAGCGAGAGCGAGACCGACATGCTGGTATGTTCGGGTGTTGGTGTTCCGCTGGAAGATTGGTTTGGTGAGGATGACCAGGCTAGAGCTGCAGAGCTTCTTTATTCCAGCGGCGAGGACAGTTTTCTCGACGCACTAGACGCAAGCCGCGACCGCTCTCGCGGCCCCGGCGAACTTGACGGAGAGAGCGGCGACAAGGCTGATGATGATGTTCAGCCTCAGGACACCGGCGAAGCAGAAGCTGTGGGAGACACCGGCGAAACAGCAGCTGTGGGAGGAGCCGGGCACGCAGCCTCTAGCGGTACAAGTGGTGAGACCGTCCGAAAAAGTTCGAGGACGAACCTTTTCGACGGGCTGTACGCCGACCCCGCCCGCGCACGAGACGGGGCACGCGGCCGATGCAGTGGGCCTGGGCGAGGAACACGGGTGGCGTCGGGGGATGGAGCCAAGGGGAGGTTTGCGGGGTTGAACAAAAAACGATTGAAGCACAGAAGGCGCGAGGAGAGGAAGAAGACACCGGAACAACGAGCGCGAGAGCGAGAAGCGCGAGAGCGAGCGCGAGAGCGAACGCGAGAGCGAGCACTCAAAGCGCAGAGAAGGCGGGAGAACACGCCGCGAGAGAAGGAGCTCTTGGACATCTACCAGAAAGTGGTGGACGCTATCGACAAGGTGAATAAGTATGCAATGTATTTCAGAGTGTTGCGTGGTAGTGTTGTTGCCGTTGATTAGTTTGCTGCTAGCATACTGCTTCCCTCGTGGCTGCTGTTTCCTGTATCCTGGATTTGTTGTGGAGCTAGTGCCACTGCCGAAACCATTCCTGCTTGTCTGTCAATAATAATTTGCAACTGTTGAATGCAACCATGTCCCTCAATCTGACGCCTTCCCGGTTTTGATTGCTTGAATTTCAATTTCTGTGCACACCTCCGTACAGGCGGAGCAGTCCAACAGCTACAGCGGTATTGTGGAGGACCCGACGGAAATGCTGACGGAATCTCGTCTCCCGTCCATCATGCGTACCGCCTTGGCGATTCGGGCGTACGCTGTCCTCGAGTAAGTGGAAACGCCCAAGAAGCGCCGTGTGCTTGCTGCTCGCACTGCTGCATTTCTGCTCTTTGAGATCGCCCTTGCCCTCTGGTTCGTGGCGTGCTCTGTACATACATACAATGTTCCCTGGCGAAGTGGTTGCCGAGTAGCATGTGTAGCTGTTACGTTTGGTGATTATCTGTTTGTTGCATTTTTGGACCCTCTTCCTATGTGTGACCGGGCGCACGGGGTACGTTGTGTATTTCTGCCATGCTCTCTTCAGAGTCGTAACGCCGAAGGCTTGAAGAATATTCTTGTGTGAAGCACTCATCGTTCCCATGTTGACGTCGTTGCCTTCAGGATTGAGGAAGGTGTCAACAAGATGCGGCACAGCCGCTACGTCGGAGATGTGGTGAAAACCACAGCGCAGACGGTGCGCAAGTGGGTAAAGGAGTTCTGCCAAGACGGAAAATTTCTCATCAGAAAACGACTTTACGAGATAAGCCAGGCGGACTCCTTCATCGACCATGAGGACATCGCCGAGCGTTGCCGGGAGGAAATCGACCGGCGGCTTTACCGCCGGAAGAAAACGGATCCGCGGTTTCGTGTCTCGGACTTTCAGAGGTAAGGGGACGGACGTGAAAATGAGAGAGCGCGCGGTTAGTGTTCCTGTTGGGTTGAACGGCGTTGGTTTTGTGTTCGTCTTGTGTGCGCCCGTGTGTTGTGGATACATGTGGACTAATTTCTCCAACTCTCTTCTGTTACCGCTTTCCTCTCCACTGCAAAATAGGTGGGTGAACACTGTTCTTCTGAAAGAAGTGTTTTCCGGCGGAGGAGGCATCTCTCGGACAACGGCGCACAGCTGGATCTGCAGACTCGGCTTCAGGTGGAAGAAGAGCGGGAAGTGCGTCTACGTCGATGGCCACAACCGCCCGGATGTCGTCGAGGCCCGGCGGGAGTACGTGGCGAAGATGCTCATCCTGCGAAAGATGATGTCCATGTGAGTGGCGCGGAGAGACTGGCCCGGGGCAGGCTCCTACTTGCGGCAAATAGTCGTTCAAGGGCAGGCGGAGACAAGCTGTTTGTTGTTTTTTGTCCTCTAGCGTCGTTCAGTGCCTTGCACGACCAAACCAGACTGCCAGAGTTGAGCTTGATACCGCGCCGCTACCTGGTACTTTTTTTTTTCTCTTGGTGGGTTGGCACGTTCCTGTACGTGGTTGCTGGTGATGAAAATCACCGGAAAACTATAATCGTGGCGTGCTTCTTTCACCGCACTGCTGTACAGGATAAACGTAGTCTCCCTTGTGATCCCCCGACCCCCAAAAATCGACCGGCCAGTAATCAAAAGCTTGGACCCCGGGAGGATCGTTGAAAAAAAAAAACTTCCCCCTCTCGTCCATTTTTTTTGTTCCCCCGGCAGAGCGATGAAAAAGGAAACAGCAGCAGTGTTCCCCCCGCCGGGACCACCAAGCAAATAGCGGTGTTCTTGAAGTACATGGTAGCTTTGTCTCGATCGTCTCGTTCGACAACCGCGACACACGTACCAACATTTTTTTTTGTCTTTTTTCCCCGTGTGTGTTGACAGCCCCGTCCAGGTAAAAACTGTGACGATGGCGAGAGTACGCGACGCGCCCGAAGGGGGGGGCGCATCTACTGGGGGAGGCGACGACGACGACGTCGTTGAGGGATGGGCAACCGGTTCGGACCCGCTGTTCTGGCCAGCAGTTCGAAGCACGGCGGACGGCAAGGAGGACGTCAAGCACGTGCTAGTTCACGGCGAACTTCGGGCCGAGGGGGGGGAACGTGGCTGCACGCGTGTACCGGTGGACAAGAGCGACTTGGTGATGCGCGATGGCAAGGGGGACTACAGCTTGGTGCCCGATCTTCAAGTGCGCGACTTGTACGTGGCGAAGAAGAAGAAGGAGGAAGCGCTTTTCTGGCCAGCCCGGCGGATCGTGGATGGAGAGACGGAGTACAAACACGTGCACGTCCACGACGGCGAGCGTCCCTGCGGGGACTGCGTGCGGATAAAACCGAACGCTCTCAACGTCTCACTGCGGTGCGAGTGCCGCGACTGCAAACGCAAGCCGTTTGACAGCTCTTCGCGGGTCCCTTTCAACCCGCGTGACCTGCTGGGGCGGGACGGGCGAGGGGATTTCTGCTTGGTGCCCGACCACGAGGTCCTCGCCCTCTACTTTCACGACGAGACCACGGCGAAGGAGAACGACGACGGCAGCAACCAGTGGGTGTCGGTGTTGAAGGGCGCCGCCATCAAGAAGAAGGGGGAAGGACGCGCCGCGCACATCTCTGACATCATTGGGGTGGATAGAGGGGTCGCAGCGATAGGGAAGGAGGCCTGGGGCATGATGCAGGAAGACATGAACGTGGTCGAAGATAAGGAGAACCCGGTTGAGGTCGCGCGGCCGGCTCCCAAGGACGGGGAGGCGCCGACGCATCGGGTGTTTCCCGGACGCTACGAGCGTTCCGGGATCTACTTCGGCAGGAAAGAGGGCGAGGGGAAGGACGGCCATGCCGTGAAGCTCGTGCAGGATGCCGTCGAGCTGCTGAAAGGGATTCCCGGCGCCTGCCAGGTGAAGAAAACGAAGAACGACCCTTCCACGGCGGCGGTCATCATGACTGTAGGGCAACACCAAGACGGGTACTGGAACTGCGCACGGATGTTGGAGCAAATTCCGGGGCTCATCGCCATCCACGAGCTGACAAGCGAGCCACACCGGCAGCTGGTCATGGTCTTCGACAACTCTACCGGGCACTCGGCGTTCGGCGCCGGCGCATTGGTGGGTGAGCACGTTGCCCTGAGGCCAGGGGGAGCGCAGGGCGCTCTTCGCAATTTCGAGGACGACGAGGGGAACCCCGTGCACACCACCTTCAGGGTCGGCGACAAGCTCCGTTTTACCACGAACGTGTTTGCCCCGAAAACGGAGGAGGAGCTCGAGGCGGAAAAGAAAGCGGCAGAGGAGGCGGAGGAGAAGGGGTTGCCGGTGAAGAAATCCAAGAAGAACGGCAAGAACCTCGGGAAGTTCAAGAAGGGCGACGAGGTCAAGGCGACTGGCCCCACCGCCGTTCTCATCGGCCTGCCGAAAGGAGGAAAGCAGCTGCTCATGGAGATGGGGCTGTGGGAAGGCGAGCCAACCCTACGCGTTCACGAGTGCAGCGCGTGCAGGGCGGAAAAGGCGGCAACAAGGCAAGCCATTACCGCCTTCAACCGCGGTGGAGAGGGGCGGCAGCAGGTGGTGGACAACACGGGGCAGGGAGAGGAGGACGGCGGAGAGGACGGGGACTCGGGTGGGAGCGGGGCAGCTGGTGAAGCAGGCAAGAGGCGTCGCTGCTGCGTCGTGCGCGTTCTGTCTGAGCTCAAGGCGTTCAGGGAGGAGCTCAACATGGTTGAGAAGCTCTTCAAGGCACACGGGCACCTGTGCATCTTCTTGCCGAAGTACCACCCAGAGCTCAACGCAATCGAGCGATACTGGGGGTACATCAAGCACCTCCTCCGCCTCCACTGCGAGTATTCCCTTCGCCACATGCTCCAGGTCTTGCCCGGCGCGTTGAGCGGCGTACCCGCACGGTTTATCCGCGCATGGAGCAGGGTGACGTGGCTGTACATCGAAGCCTACGACGAGGGCCTGGAGGACTACCTCGAGTACCGCGATCTCAAGGAGTGGGGGAAGCACCGAGAAGCCACCGCCAGGGGAGATGCCGTGATTCAGGCGAGGGGGGCGGGGAAGACGCCGGAGCAGAAGAAGGCAGCCGAGGCGAAGGCGCTTGCGGCTGCGCAGGAAGTGCGCAAGAAGTCGATGGCAGCGACCAGGGAAGCCTTCAACACGTGGACGAGCAAGAGAGCCTCCCGGAAGGAGCAGCTACGGCTGTGGATTTTGCGCAACACGATGAATTTTTTGAGGAAATGGTTGGGCGGGCACGCTCAGGCGTGAGTGGGGAGGGTACGTATCTATATGTCGCGGTGTGTTGTAGTGTTGGTTTCTCGCGTTTAGGCGCGGTAGAGGCGTTCGTCATGGTCACCAACTCAACGCTATAGCTGTCTCTCTTGGTATCGGACTTGCTTAGAGAGAACGGATGTGATTGCTGCATGCTTTGTTTGCAGCACCTTCACCAGCCAGGGGTTGAGTAGAAAGTAAACGGCGGTATTGTATGTATGTATGTACATATGTAACGTGTAAATAATGTAAATATGGATTGACAACGGTTTAACTGATGTTCTGAAGGCATATACGTGTAGAAGGGAGGGGTTGAGGGGGGGTCGTGGTGTACTTTTGGGGCTCCGTGGGGTCATGAGGGGGTGGGGGTGGGGGCTCCGTGGGTCATTTTGGTCAAAAATGTCGCATTTCACCCAATCACCAAAAACTCATCGGATATCGACGAAGCTCGACGCCGCGGTCACGCCCAAAGTTGTTTCACTTTCCAAANGTGGGTCATTTTGGTCAAAAATGTCGCATTTCCCCCAATCACCAAAAACTCATCGGATATCGACGAAGCTCGACGCCGCGGTCGCGCCCAAAGTTGTTTCATTTTCCAAATCGTTTTTTTTCGAAAGATATCGCGAAAAACAAGATTGTGAATATTTGCCCGAACGGACCATAGACGTTTCCGTAGCAGAGAGGCCGCCGCAAGCAAAATGCCTTCAAGATGGTGTTGGTGTTTCAACACATCGCTGCAAAAACCTTACAGATTTGTGAGATTTTGATTGCAAACCTTGACAAATTCGTCCTAGATGGAACGCCGTTATTGTTTTTGGCATTCCCACGAGAATCCGACCCATAAGGTCTTGGAGGTGGTGCGTTCCTTTCGAAGAATCCTAAGTCGGACGTTAAATCCGAACGCCACGAGACTCGGTCTTGGCAAGGAACAAGCACTCCGGCTTGGGTGCCCATGGTTGATCGAAACTAATTAGAACTTCAAGCCTGATGGCCCTTATGATTTCCATTGACCCCGCCCTCCCTCCCCCCATGCCTCCAACGACTTTGCTTCTCGGCCGGCAAACCTACGAAATACGAACTACTACTACTGCCGCAGTCGAGCTCGCTCGCCCCGGTCGACCCCCTGCCGACGCCTCGAGCGGTTCGAGATTGATCTTGGGCGCGCTGGGGATCCGTCGGCCAAAGCCAAAGATCGCGGACGCCGGATCAGCGCGAAAAAGCGCGGGTTCGAAGGGAGGGGTTAGGGGACGCGGAGCGAAGAGTGTGAAGGCGCCCCCTGCGGAGAGTACCGACTCGTGGGACATGTAAAGTTTAGGGAGGACAGGATGAGATACTTGGCACGGGCGCGTAGGGGGGACGGCTAGATGAGTTGGTCGCGCTCGTACCTTACGTACGATGCTGGTCGGGGGATGTTCTTGAAAGGATTAATGTTATTCTGTTTCAAATCGTGCTGAATATTGTAGCAGGGAGTCAAGTTTTGTTGTTTTGTGGCAATTCTTGCGGAAATAAGGGGGGCAAGGAGTCGGCCTGATGTACAGAGCGTTGACGGTTTGCTGCAAACGTGTGTTTACAGTTTGATGCGAGGCGTGAGGTGAGTGTCACACAGTTTTTAACTTGGGCAAGTCGCCCGTGAACTAAATTTTGCGTTGAGTTCGCTCTACTCGTTCGTAACACAACGTTCTATTCTGGTTTACTATTAATAGTTTGGCGAATGTACGGCATTCCTCTAAACAGCTGTGTACCGCCGCTCCGTAGGTGTTCCGCTGTCGTTGTTTGCATGCCGATGAACGTGATGGCGACGATAATGCTAGCCATTGCAAAGCGGTGGGTAGCGAATGGCAAGCTCGCGTTTTGGTCGGCATTTCTGCACGTACAAAATAGCGGCAACCAAATATTGGGAGGAAATGGCTTTCCCAGTTGCTTCGGGGGGCACCGCACCATCAGCGAAACAGAGTACGAGTCGCTTGAAAGAGTAGCAAGTCGATCATGAGCCCGGCATCGCTGCTGTCACGGAGTTAAGACGTTGAACGACTGCGGCGTTACACTTGTCTCCCAAGGCTTGTCCCCGCATCTTGCAAGCCTCCTTAACCTACAGTCAAGCATTCGCAGCTTTGTTCGGGGTTATTCAAGACTTTCTTGGGCAAAGAAGGCCATCCATTCGTACGCCTTTTGTCCTCTGTAGTCGATACAAAAAGTCTGACGCCGGTTCATTAAAGTCTATGCTGTGTATTATCGTTGGACACCAACCACACCACCGACTCCAACACTTGGCGTCATCCTCAGCAACACTCTCACAGTTGTCTCTTCCTCAACACATGGCCTGAAAAATACTAGCACCCCGTGGCACGGAAAACGGTATGGTGCTCCTATCGCTCCTCAACTACATGGGGCAAACTGACGGGAGAATCCACACGCAACAAATATGGTACTATCTGCACATTTCCCGCCACCGTCGACCTCGATCACACTGACATCCAAACTTCCTCCGCATGGGTCATGAAGAACGTTCGAGTTACACACTGTAATTTGCACCCTCCCTACCTTGCCCGCAAAGTACAACCCTATTACCGCAACGTTGTCCTCTCAACGCTCTATAACCACACCTACGAACAACACCGGTCACCAATCGGTGCGTACTGCCTCCAAAGGAGGCGTAGCCACGAGAGAAACCCTTCCTATAAACTATTAATGAGGTGGCTCATGCGGCTAGCCTTCGCTTCGAGGTAACCGTGGTTGTGCTCATTGGCGGGCACCTCGATGGGAATGCGCCCCTCCACCTTGACCCCCATGGCCCTCAGCCAACCGATCTTGAAAGGGTTGTTGGTGATGAGTTGAACACTCTTGAGGGGGTGAAACGACACGGCACGATAAAGAAAGCGGGTGGGAGACATGTACAAGAGCCGGACAGCAGGTAAGGAATGCCTGATTGAGGACGTGCTCAACGACAGCAAATAAGTCAGTCAGTCTGGATGGATCTCAGAGAGAGACACCAAGAGCCTGCGATGATTTGTGCGACTAATCGATTCAACGGCGGTGTCAGGTTGGAAACCGATAGCACCCTTGAATTTTGCAGTTTACAGAAGCGTACCTAGCGATGTTTTGGTGATATAGCGGACGGAGGCTCTGATCTTTAATATAAGTGAGACTTTCGTTAACGCTCGACGGTCGACGGGTGAGGTACAGAAAAACCAACACCACGGGACAATTATCCTTGCAAATATCTTCAACAGGCTGCGAACGAAAAGCTTCAATCCTGAAAGAAAAGCTTATTCGGTAATTTCGACCGTTCGACAGGCGATCCATGTCAAAAATCGGGGGTCGATCAACACAAGAAAGGGAAAGCAACACGCGTACAGAGGGGACCCTCAAACCTCAGTCTTCAAGGCGACTTTCCGCCTGCTCGTGGCAAACTTGGGTTGTCTTATGTCAAACCCAAACGAGTTGCTTGACACCACTCGAGCAACATACTCCAGGTGAGCACGCGAGACTTGATCTATACAGCATTGCACGAATAAGTCAGGGCTTAGCAACCGTCAGCTCACTTTTATGTCCATGTCTCCAAGGATGAATTCGACGCACTCGTACGAGCGTTCGTCGTCTTCAAAGCCGAGCTGTCGATTTGCTTCTACAGTGTCCAGCCCATCATCCTGTCGAGAAGAAAGCACGGCGTTCCACTCGTGACCCATGATTGGTGACCATCAGCAAGAGAAAAAATGATGTGCCGTGGGTAAAGAGCTGGGAGTGACCATAGTTTGAGAGAGGGAAAAAAGTACACACGACATCAATCGCCAGCTTGCCCTTCCGGCTACCCCACGGTCAATCTAGGGCATCTCATATTCGGTCCCGGACATTGGTGTTCCTACACAGCAGTAAAGCGCACCCTTCGCAGCACAGCAATAGTCTACGTGAGATCTTGGTGTCAAGGCAGTAAGGTGAGACAGGCAGGGCTTCACGAATCCGGCGCTACGAAAGGATGGCAGAGCACGTAGCTCACACCTGGAGCGCGTACGCAGCGACCTTGTTCGCAAGCCCAATTCCGCGGCCCTCCTGCGCGAGGTAGATCACAACGCCACCCCCGTGCTCCTGGATGTACCGCAGCGACATGTCTAGCTGCTCGCGACAGTCGCATCGTTTCGACCCGAGCACCTGCAACGGGACCCAAGCAAGAAAATTCTGAATCCGTTGGGCGCCGTAGCAAGTGGAGGCATGCAGAGGGATTTTGTGTGTGACCGGGATCGGAGCTCTGCAGTCTACAACGGGAAGACCATATGCAGACTGTAACACCTTCGAGCGACGGTTACGAGGTGGAAGAAAAAGAATGGCACGCCCGGTCGCAAGCGTGAACATCTGTACCGTATTGCACGGTACCCGGTTTAGTTTGCACGAAATCACGGGCGTGCGTGGAGATACACCACAGCAGTGGGTGGCGGTATTTAACATGATATTAAACTTCATCCCTTGTCACGCAAACTCTCCTATTTCCACCCGTTTCATACATACCTCTGATGTCTGGCACTGGTCGTGGACTCGCACAGGTACGTTTTCTGAGAACAACACACACGCGGGAATAAAAAGAGGAGAGGTCAACTATTACGAACATGCCGGCCACGAAACATTCGATTTAAAATGTACAACACAACGTCGGCAAGCACAAAGGCGGTGGGACAAATTTTAAGTCCGCCTCGGCCAATCAGCAGCCTCCATTACATAAACATGGCTAGCGTCTTGTCTATTTTCGAGTAGTTTCGGCAATGTCGCCGCTGTCGGGGCACCGTACCAAAACCGCCACTCAACCTTGCAGCCGGGGAGTTGCAACCAGTGTACATCACACGCCCACAGCAGGAATGGCACCAGCAGCCTACACTGGGCTGTGTCGTGCCACAACAGCGACATCGACTCGGAGGACACAGCAGCACGAAAACCACAACAGCGAGTAGCGCATCACACACACACACATATGTTTCTGTCTTTGATCCGAAGGATAGTTTAGCCTCCCCCATGCTGCCCCCTCACGGGGTCCCAGTTCATGGCAGATTAAAGTGTATTTTGTTTTCAACCGCACTGAGACTGACGTCTTTTCATTGGTCAGCCGGTTAGCGCGGTCGATGCTAACAATAAAAACACACACATAGATATGTCGAGCGAGTTCCCGCCCAGCGATCCGGGATGAACACGTGTGTGCCTTTATCTTCACACCCATTCTCGCGGCAGAACCATCTCAACAATATGTTGGTACTCTTGGCAACCCGGCATCCGCTCTACTACGTCAAGTAGTTCTTGAGCGTAAAATATACGAGCCGCAAGAGTCGGAGAGATGGCCCCCCCGCGTCAGCGATCTCTCCGACAATTACGGGTAGTAGGCATCATCACTCAATCAGGCCGAACGTAGTTCGCACAGATACGCCCTCGTCCCTTTTATCGAGACCGGATCGTTTGGTCAGCGGAATATATCTGTACGGTTGATTCTTTGGGGGCGGCGACGACACATGCGAGCTCTGGCGTGTACTACTGTAGCTTTCTTCATCTAGGTTAAGTCAACATGTTCATCCCACGCGTCGGTATCCGACGGCGGCCGCGGTTCAGTTCAAATGTTAACACCTCGAAATTCCGAGGAATGAGATCTTCCCGCTCAAGCACTCCCTTCTACAACATGATGGTCCCGCTTACCATCGCCGCAAATACACACAAAGCGCTCAACGGAATGGAGAGAAGTCGGAGGTATAGGTAGGTACAACAAGGTGACGACGGTCGTGAAGAAGAGCCATTTCATGCGTCGCGCGAAATAACACCCCAAAACCGTGTTCTCTAGAAGCACGTCGGGTGCAAGCAGCTGTCATTCAGCTAAACGTGTTCGGACAAGTGTAATACATGCCTTCCACTGGAACAAATACCCCGAAGGGCCCTAAGGGGGTTCTCTCGGTGATTCTACAATTGTATGCACATTTTCTAAGCATGCTCGCCCTCTCCCCCCCGAGCAGCTGTTGTGCTTACCTCGGCCTCGCACGTTCCCCGCAACCATGACAACAGGTTCATGCGTCTTCACCCCGTCCGCGTACCGATAGGCTCGCAACCGGAAGTTCCCCTTCTCGGTGGGCAAACTGCACTCTGATACGAAGGTCGTACAGCCCTGCCCTGCAGCCTTTGCTTGAGCCGCCGCCTGCCCCTCCGGGGCACGCGGGGTGGCATCGCTTGATGCCATCGCTCCCGCTCGTTTCCGTTTCAGCCCGCGAATTGCGCCGTCGGCCCGCCGCGCGTCTCCTCTCGCGGCGCCGGTCTGGCTATCCTCGAAGCAGGAGCCATCGCCCCTTCGCAGCTGCAAGATCGCCGTCCAGTACGCCTCGGCAGCCTTGCCGACGAACACCCCACCGAATAAATGCAGGCTACTCTCCACCCTGGCGCAGGCAAGCGAAGATGCGACGCCAAGACCTCCTGTGGTTGAAGTAAAGTCTTCTTGGTTGCCAGCTTCCCTCGGTTCATCATCTCTAACCACTGCCTCTGATAACATCAGAGCTTACAATCACAACTGATACCTTGCCGTGTATTCTATCGGAGCGGTGTCGAAGGCTTTAGGGTCAGGAGGGTGTGTTTGCGGTAAACAAACGCTGGAATCCGGTGTCGTGTAAAGTGTGCCTCGATCACGCGTACGTGGTCGGCGGAAGGAAGGGGGTGAAAAAAAACACGGTAATAAAACACACGGAGGCGGTGTTCGTTCATCCCGACAGTGCCGCCAAGGCCGGAGAGCAGTTTCGACGTGTAGACGTTTCGGCTGCCGAAGTGCAAACGCTCTGGGTCCCACCATGAAAAACCTGGAAAGACAAGCTCCGCTGCGCCGTGTGCAAACCGATTTCTTCCTCCGTGGGAACAGACCGCAGCGCCTGAATGTCTGAATCGACAGCTGGTAGGGAGAAAAGGCCTTACAAATGTACCTACCTCATGCCCGATGATCAAGTATTCAAGCAGTATTAGTGACCGCAGTCATTTTGTGCTTGTAGTCTTTTCAATACCTGATCGACTTCGTTCTGCTTTTTGAATACGTACACCTCCAGAATTTCCGTCGTTCAAGAGTAGTAGTGAACCGCATTTTACTCTGTGTCTCTGATTAATCTAGATGGCCGCTGTGATCGACTACTTGGATAGTTTGATGACGACCGAAAGAGACAATGAATGGCAATGGAAATGGACTTCGTGCGCCTTGCCAAGTGAGTCGGCATGTCGGCATAGAGGATCTAAAAGAGGAGGGTTATTTGGTTGACTGGGTGTAATGCATATGAGCAAACAAGAGTGCAGAGTATGGAATAGAAGCGAATGTTCTCGACATTAGAGACGATCAACCCAACAAGGCGATACAGAGCACATCAACTGTGCGAAAATTAATCAAGCGTTGAGCCCTATCGAGAATACGTGAGAGGTGTTTTCACGACAAGGCCGGTGTTGCATCATCCAGACTTTCGCGTCGATTGTAAGGAAGATTCAGAGGGACAAGATCATTATTGTTGGTGTACATCGTTCTCAGTTCGGCAGATTCATCGCAAAAAAGTCAACCCAGACAAAGGCGCGTACTTCCAAGATGATCACCATCTACCACGTTCATCAGTAATGTTTGTCATCATGAGGCGTCACACACTCCAAGAGAGCGCTAACGACCGAGTTCAGGCGGAATAATCCTAACCGCTGCCACGGAACATAAAAATGGCGCAGAAAATTACAGAGGTCTACAGCGATTCGACCACAGCCAAAACCGTTAGAAGGGACAGCACCCCCACCGTTCTACTTCAACAGTCCTGAACCTGAGCTGTCTGCTGAACAGCAATACCAGGATGTTCGGAGAAGCATTGCTGTTCCAACGCGGCAGGGTTTTCAACAACAACAAAATCACCACACACACCACAATAGCACAGTGGCTGAATGGGTGGTACGAAGGACAATCCGACGAAACCCAAACACATCTACACAGGACAAGAACACGGCTCCACCCAAGAGCAACTCCTGCAAGTTCTCTTGCACTTCTTCGTGTACTTCGTCTGGCAGTTCTTGGTCTGTCTGCCTCGCTTCGACGAAATCACGATGTATCGCAACCCTTGCCAGACGGACGATCAACACCTTTCATCGTTGTTGAAGCACGATTTTTGTAGGTACTCCCCGTCCGTTCATTGTCCTGTGAATGATCAATTTAACAATGAATTCGTGAGAAAGTTCACCTGGGACAGATGGGTTGGTCTGTAGTCTCGTTTTGGTATTCGGGCACCAGCTAGCCTCATTTGTAGAGTGACGACAGCATCTATGTACCACTATCGAGGATGCCCCTGGCCCGCCAAGAAGCATCATGGTTACAGGAGTATGGTCTATTGTGGGCTCATGTCCCCTTCCCCGGCGAGGAACCCCGGCGAGAGAGAATATCGGGCTTTTTGTGCTAAAAGCGTGCGATTTTCGTCCTTCGAGCCGAATCGCAGCCATTATAGGCACGTTCTAAATAGGAACAAAATGACCGAAAAAAAAAAAAGACCCGATCCGTCATAAAGGATATAGGAAACACGGAACGGATTCTAGATTTTTCGCTTGATCTTATCGTGATGTCAACGTCTCCTTTTGATGAGACACGCTTTCCTCTACACACAACAGATCGACTTAACTTGGCGCACCCTCACCATAGAGTAGCGGTACAAGCATGAAAAGTAACAATAACACCCGCACGCAGGACAGAGGACAGCACAACTTCTTAACACCTAATCTATTTCGTCTCCTGAAAGGGTCTCCTGAAAGAAACTTTCGACTTTCGATTTAGGAAAATGAGGCGCCAGGCCTCTACTTTTCTATATCTGAACTAGATGATCCCCCGCTTTGATGTTCCCCCGCTTTGAGGAGCGTTGCCAGCACTGGACCCTTTATCCTAAAACCGTGTTCCGAATTGTCCCGAAATCCCCTATTGCCAGGGTTTTCATGAACTTATGGTATGGGATTTGAATGTGTAGGAAAGTACAAACGGTAGTGCGGGCTAATGCCCAGAGAAAAGTGCGGGAGATGCAACTCCCCGGAAGGACAAAAACAGGGACAGGATCTAGTAGCCCCTGCTTTAGCAGCTAATCCTGGCCCCATCCTAGTCAGTCCTCTACCTTCCCTTGGGAACAGCTACTGCTGTTCAATAGCTGGAAAGCGTCTGGTCCAGGGGCTCCTCCATCCAAGCTCCGTTTCACTTGCTGAAAGAAATCAGTAACGGCAAGGACGAGATCGGCGGTAGAGGGCTTGTCGGGGGTGATCGCACTCAAAAGTTTTTTTCGAGATGACGTTCCCATCCACGCACAGAATCGGCGCCTGTCAAACCTTCACTCTGCTCGTCACACAACAGCAAAATATCGGACAAAGCAGTTCTTGTTGTGCGAATAAGCTGCTGATAGCCATCTCCCGGCAACAGAGTAGCGGGGAAGGGCATGGTAGCGACATTCTCAACTTTTTTCAAGTTGAGGGTGATGTACGCTCGTTGAACGGTAGCTACATGAGCATTACGAGCAGCTGCATCAGTCGCATCGATCGATGCTTGACGATTGTGTGCTGTGTTAGAAGAAAGTGGCAAGGCACGATCATCGGAGACAGCGGGGGGTGCGGCGACGGCTACCGAAGCAGCTGTGGGGGCATGGTCTGAAGTCAACATGCTACGCAAAACATCCGGCACTGGTGGATCAAACGCCGAAGGGGGGTTGAGGTTCGAAAACCCAGGGTTCTGCATCATTCGTGGATCTACAGCATGGCGAGCGGTAGAAAGGCTACGGGGTCCAGAGGTTTCCAAATAAACAGGGGCGGCCGAAACCGGAGCTGAGTTCGAAAACTCAACCCTACGTACATGTCCGGAGTCTATAGCATTGAATGCGGCAGAACGGACAGAGGGTGCAAAGGGTTCCGAGGAAACAGGCGAATCTAAGGGCGGGGGAGGGTCCGAAAACTCAACACGACGCAAACGCCCTGAGTCCGAGGAAAGAGGGGGGGCCGAAACCGTACCAACAACCGAAGTCGAGTGGGGGGCCGAAGCCTGTGAAAAAACATCATGTAAAAGAAAACGATCACTCAAAGTCGCATCCATAAGGGACGGGACTGCTTGCCTGGAAGAAGGACCCTTCCGAGCGCCGTGGTTCCGGGTGAGACTCCGGTCTGAACCAGAGCCCGATCCGCCTCCCTTGCCACGAGTCTCGCTCGTGTGGCGCTTGGCCTACTGCCGTGCCCGGCCATCGTCCGCCAATGAAGATGGCTCCGGGGGGCGGCGAGACAATCCCGCGGAACTCCAGCCCGAGTCCTCGCCCGAGCTACTCTCTCGCAAAATGGGATGGAGCGGCTTGGCCTTGACGCGGCCGGCCTTGGGCTGCTGGAACGCCGAAGATGCCGGAATCGCCACGGCGCAGCCGGGCTACACCACCGGAGACGATGCGTTCATGGTGGCCGCCCGCATCGCCACGAGGAGGCAGCTCACCACATCGTGGAGGTCGGGCCGAGACCCGTTGGCCGCATCAGCGGCGTCCTGTATTAAGGCAGCCAACGGCAGGGCGGTGGACACGCCAGCCGCCAAGTCCACGCCAGCCTTGCGATCCTCGACCTGGTAGTTGACCTGGGCGTATTTTGCAACGTCCGACAACCTGGCTTGGGCAAACCTGGCGTCCCCGGCCTCGAAGGTGACGGAGCGTGACCGTGATGAAGACCGCGTCACAGGGCTGGAGGCGGCAGCGGCGTACGTCCGAGCCGCTGGCGCCGACGGGGCAGGAGCAGCAGCAGGGGCCGGTCCCGGCACGGACCTCCCCGCCCGGACCCGAAGATCGTGTTCGCGCTGTTGGTCAGCGCGAGCCTGTTCAGCGACCAAGGCATCCTCTTGGCGGCGATCATCGACGAGCTGGGCTGCCAGCAGGGCCTCCTCTCGTTCTTGCGCTTGCTTACGCTGGGCGTACTCGAGGTGGCGTCGGCGTTGGTGGCCCGGCGCGCACGGTACATTGCGATTTGTGCGTGTCGTGCCGCGGTCGCCTTGGTGAACTCGGCGTCAAGCCGAGCGTTGCGGTCCCGAAGAACCGCTTTGCGGTCGAGGTCGACCGCCTCTTTTACCCCCCTCACCTTTCGCCCGACATCCCACTTCACCCGCTGCCATATCCTCACAGGCGCCGCCGGCAANTGCCAGCAGGGCCTTCTGCGCCCTTCTTGGGAGCGTGAGATGGACCTGCAGCATTCCAAGCCGCACATTCTCCGGTACTGGGCAGGTTCGCCTGACCAACATCGCCAATCAAATCGCCGTTATCGTGCGATGCGCATTGGAGCCGCTACCAGGGAATTGGCGCGTGCTCAAGGTGCGCGAGCCTTGCCTTCGGGCTACTGGTTTGTTTCCCGTTCAACATGGGACCGTCGCTTCGCCAACACTCCTCTACCTGTGGGCGCCTTCTTCTAGTACATGACACGAGATGGACTCTGGTGGTTGGGCAAGATTTCTGGACCACCTCTGCCGTCCGACTTCTACGTCGTCCGCTTCTTGGACGATCCTAGACCTGTCAAGATCGCCCTTCCCGATGTTCGCTACTCTACCGTCGAAACCGCCGCCTCCGGATCCTGGTGCCTCCAAGTACACAGCGGCAGCGCCCTATTCAAGGGTGTTCTTCGCAACATCGACATGTCGCGTGGCGACGTTGTGACCGCTTCGTTGTCTGATGACGTCGCGCGCCCACATTAAAATGGCATGCTTGGTTGTTTTTGCCTTCTGTTGCTCTTGCAATAGCATTATTTGTTTTCGTTTCCTCGTATTCTTTCTTTTGGCTTCAAAAGTCCGCCAGGTCGAGCTTTCTCTGTTCCCTACCGAGGTTTTGCCAACTGTTGTTTGGTGTCACGACCCCTCTTCTTCTTGGCTTCGCTTCCGAAACGTTTCGTTTCCGGCCTTTTTGGTACGTTGTGGTGCTTTTGTACATTTTCGCATATTTTTGTCTCTACTTCTTAGAGTTTGCGGGGTGAAGTTGTTTCGTGATCTTTGTTGTCGCTCCCACGCTACCGTGGTGACTATTTGGCGTATCTTGTCGTTTTGTCGATACAAGCCTTTTTCTTTCACCGTTCCCTTTCCGTCGCTCCGGCGACGCGTATTTTGTTCGTTTCTTTCGTGTCCTCTTTTCCCCTTTATTTTGGGTTCTGACCTGTTATGGTATTTGTAGCCTTCGCCTGTTGCGGCTCTCCCCTTGGTTTCCTCTCTGTTAGCCCCAGTTTATTTCTTCCTGTACCTTCTTTTTATTGGTCAAGCAACTCCCCACGGAAGGACAAAAACAGGGGACATGATCTAGTAGCCCCTGCTTTAGCAGCTGATCCTGGTCCCATCCTAGTCAGTCCTCTACCTTCCCTTGGCAACAGCTACTGCTGTTCCACACGAATTAATAACAAGTGAGTTCGTCTTCACGGCTCTCCCAGATTGCACCGCGCGTGCATATTCTTTACACTTCGTGGTTTTTTCTTCTCCGGAGTAAATTTTGTGATTTTTTTTTTCAGAAAATGTTTTTTGTGGAACATTTCCGATTATTTGCTTATTTACTTTTTTTTCCACGTCTGGAGGATCGGGCGAGAGCCACGTAATCGAGCCGAGGTCGTTCACAGCAGCCCGCCACAAGAGACAGCGAGATCAAAGAGGACCTACACCCATCCACGGGTGGAGGAGGGAATGTCTCTCAACCATCGAAGCCGCTGGACAGAAATACGCCCAGACGACCGAATTCCGGTACCTCTGTGGCCTCGTCAACGAACATGGCGACCTCACCCGGGAGATCAACTGCAGGAGCAGAGGAGCGTGGGCGTGCCTCAGGCGATATGGCCGGGAGCTCTTCGACAGACCGAATAAAGCGCCATTCCGACTCAAGATCCACCTGCTCCAGGCGGAGGCGATGGAGGCACTGTTGTACGGTTGCATGACATGGTCACCACTCAGCGGCCACTATCAGACGCTGCGGTCGATACACCACCGACTGCTCCTCCGAGTTATTGGGTACAAGCGCAAGAATGACACCTACCGGCAGCTCTCTTACGCCCAGACGCTGAAGAGGGTCGAATGCCAGGGCGTTGAAGCCACGATCCGACGACGACGCCTACTTTCGCGGGAGCATTGGCAAGGCAGCCGGACGGGCGACTCCCGAAACGACTGATGTTCGGCGAACTGGCAGGGGGGGAGAAGCGACGAAGGGGGGGAAAGGAACAGAACTGGCCGAAGTGTGTGCTCGACGACCTGAAGGCATTCGGGGCCGATCACGGATCTACGAAAACCGATCAATGTTGTTTCGGAATCCCGGTACCGAAAGACACGGCACCGACGTTAAAGCAGACGGAAGCCGCGAAGGTACAGGGGGGAGTACCCTGGCATGCGGCGGTTCTGCAGGGAGCTGAGAGGTTCATGACCTCCTGGCACGAGAAGGAAGAAGAGGTCAGCCGACAACGGGCGCTCAAACGAAACCACAAGCCACCAACCAATGGGGCGGGAGGGGGGCAGGAGACGGACGAGACGGCGAGGGAAGAAAGCAAACGAGAAGAGACGGACCGAGTGGCGCGATACGTGCCGGATTGAATTTCTTTTAGCCAATTCCCCCCCCCCCAACGCTGCACCATTGCACCAACCCCCCACTAGTGATGACGTACCATTACAATGCATCCCTGGTTGGTGGCCATGTTTGCGTGTTTGCTTGTCGTTAGTGGTCTCTCCACCGTGTGTCTTTTTCTGTCTCTTATTTCTTGTTATTTTCGGCCTGGTCCCTTTTTGTCCTCGCTCTTTTTATTTCATTTTCTCTTTCCTTATTACTGTTTCCTTTTTTTTTCTTCTCTTTTTCTCTTTTTCTCTTTTTATCTTTTTCTCTATTTTTCTGTGCCAGATGACCTTGTTTCTGCTTGCGTTGTGAAGTACCAAGATTGAACCAAGGGGGTGTACCTCATTCTCTCCGGCCCGTGATGGTGACCCCTAGTCTCAGTTGTTACCTCGCATAGCGCGCAGAGGGAGTGAAGGACTCCAGAATATCTGTCGTTGATTTCTATTGACTTGCGGCCCCCTCGGGGCCAGTTCATTTGAGTGTACCTTTTTAGGGTAAGTTAGCCTGCGACCACGGGAATCGACCGCGTCGAGTGTTGTATCAGAACGGACATGCGAAGGTACTGGGTAGAGAGAGATCGGAACGGTTTTGCATGTGAAGGCAACAACAACAACAACAACAACAACCCTCTGCTTATCTGGAGCGATCCACCTCTGTGGCTTCTCTCTGTTCTCTACATCCTTTCTGGACTCCCCTGATCAAGTAACTACATTTCCACCAACCCATCTTCTTCCCCTTCGGACTTCCTGCGTACTCAAGAGCCAAGCCTCTCGTACTAAGAGTCCAGCGGCACAACAAGTGAGTTGGTACGCCGCGCTGCAGCTGTACAGGACACGTACAGGCTCACACGCAGCACTTGGGTTTTGTCCTTGACCTGTGACTATAAGATTGCACAATCGGGTGCTCTGCTTATGGAACATAGTGGTCATTGCTGCATAGGGTTTGTTGTGCTCGCGCGACACACTGCGAGAGCACGCACCAACTCAAGAAAAGTTAGGACATACTTTTGACGACAATCTACAACACCTCTTCGAAACCGCGTCAACATTTACAAGCCTACATCCCCAAGATCCACCACATGCCGTTCGAGTGTGGGTATATCTCGAACGGGTAGTCTTTCCGTGTGTGTATTTATTTTTCCTAATTTTTAGAAAGTAGACATGATCTCACAAACCACCGTTCGAGATATCAACCCAGTCGAACGGGATGTGCTTGGAGTCTTTCGCAGTAAGTGGAGTGAAATCGGATGGGAACTGGGCTATATTTGAGTATTTTTAGCACATTTTGTTTTATCTTTCGATCTGGTGTAGGGGCAAATAGTAGGGTATTACCTTGTTGGTGGTGCCCTGACGAGCTCGCTCTTGGTCGTTGGCATGTAGCCGCCGCACGTATTCTCCATGTGGGGTCGAGAATGAGCAACGACAGATGAGCGTTAGGCATCTCGTGCTGTCTGTACTACTGTACAGGAGTAGAGGAGGGAGGGAGAAACTACAGGAAGGAGTAGATCGCCCGCGTACAGTTAGCGGTCCGCACCAAAGAACCTCTACGGCACTTGCGGGCCGCGAGTAAGAAAAACGTATTGGGGCATCTCCGTCGTGCATCTGCAATGGCTGACCATGTACAAGTCACCGAACTCAGAAGGGGTTCACGCCAAAACGTGAACCCTTACCCTTGCATGACTCTCTAGGAAAGTGAGATTGGGCCTTTCGCGAAAACTAAAATAAGAAAACCATTTACCAGCCGTGGATCCTACACTAAACTCTATCTTTATGTTGACTTCAGCTCGACGTCACAAGAAATTGAGCCTCGACCCCAAGTTGACGTTTCTTATTCGCATGCTGCGACTGCAGTGGTGTTGCCGAAGGTGGGGCTCTTACTTCCTGGGGTTATGCTACGAATGGCCGCTGTAGCGTAGGGTTAACCGGGCTCACGAAATGCTCAAGTTCTTCGATTTTGAGTTTTTTGAAACTCAATTTCTTAACTGCCAAGTTGATTGCAGGCGCTAATTGCTATAGTCGTGAAAATTATGGGAACGAACAGGTGTAGTTTGTCTTGTGTGCACGTGTCTCCATTCCTGTTGACCTAAAATCTGGTGTTTCTGAATGTACCGACAACAATTCCTGAACCGCGGCTACCCAAACCGCTGAAACCATCTCCAAGCGCCCAGACCCTCTCGAAAACTGTACTTGGAGAAAGTCCATCGGATCGTTCTATATCTCCCACCACTATCGCTCCCATCGGGTGGCGTACCACACTACATCGCGCCCTTCTTGATGTACTCCTCTCTCCTACTAGCTAGTACTGTCGGTTTTCAAAGTAGTACGGGTCCTCCAACCTCTGTTCTATCTATGCCTTTGCTCGAGGCCAATCTTCAACTTCCTTCAACAGCAGCCTTTTCTGAACGCTGCTAAGATTTGCTTCCACGCGCCCGAGCACAGGAGATCTTTCATCTAACAACCTTATAGCTCTCTCGTACAACCCGCCCGCGATCTCTAGCGACGATTTCGACCCGCCGCCGGTCTGTTCCTCCAGCCAGCCTAGGTTGTTTAGCAGCTCCGGCGAGTTTGGTTGCAGGGAGAGGGCTCGATGGAGAAGGGCTTTAGCGCCAGGGATATCACCTGCCGTCTTTTGTTGGTTGAGGGG